GCCTAATTATCAATCAATGCATGAGAAGATAAAGACATTTGCAGACAAACAAGATCTCAAAAACTTTACTTCCCATACACCTTTCTTAGAAAGCTACTAGGAATGGATTCCTTAAATGAAGGTATGAGCCATGAAAGAGAAAGACAGGACAAACAAGTCATCCAACCTTGAAAAGCATTAAAGGGGACTCTCAAATTTACAATGAAGACTGGGAAAGAGGACGAGTGATCCAGATTGAAGGAGATCAAAACATTCTACCTCAGATTTTTGAGAAGAAACTAATAGGACAACCTGGTGTGAATAAATATCTTGAGGGGATATTGAGACCAACTGAGGCAGGAAAATAGGGTCTGGAGGCAGGGAACCTACGGCCAATTCATGTTGAATTCCTAGAACTAAAGCAAAAGAAAAACCCCAATTTTCCATGCCCAAGTACCAAAAGGACCAGAGGCTTCTCCCTTTGCAACCCTGGCCCCTCCCACAACTAATCAAACTGATGGCAGGCCACTACTTCATTTACATAGGGTGTACATCAAGTACAATGGGAAACCTCTAGAGGGTATTTAAACCCTAGAAAACTCTGTAACCAGGCTCTTGAGTTGCTTGCTTGGGCCTGCTCCCACCCTGTGGAGTGTGCTTTCGTTTTCAATAAATCTCTGCTTCTGTTGTTTCATTTTTCCTTGCTTTATTTATACATTTTGTCCAATTCTTTGTTGAAGACACCAAGAACCTTGACACCCTCGGGAGGGTGTCAAGTAGGAGAGAATTTGGGGTTGAATTCTGATATGTACAAGAAAAGCAAGAAACTTAAAAATAGGATAATTATTAACCTTAGGGAAAACAAAAAGATATGAATAAAAGTAAAAGCAATCACGGTTTAGTACTTAGTAAAATTCTGACTAGCATACATAGTTATAGTAATAGAAATATTGAACACTGATATAAAAATTATAATTATATTAATGATATAGGGGCTGGGAAATATGTGTGTGATGGGGAATGTGGGGAGGAAAAAGAGCGAACTCCTTATCTTTCATGTGAGAAGTCAACAGATAATGGCTAACGATGAAAAATCAAGAAGCGGCACTGAAAGCATGTTATTTTGCCATATGGAGGTAAACATTAAAAATACCAATTAAAGAGAAACAAAAATGCAGGTGAGGGGACCTGGAGACAAGTGTATTTCTGAAGTCTTGTAGAAACTAGCCTACTGTTTGTATGTGTAGTTCAAAATGAAAGAAAGAAAAGAAAATCCCTTAAGAGGGGGTCATATGGAGACTGATCATCTCTCTCTCTCTTTTTCTTTTTTTTTTTTTTAAACAGAGTCTCGCTCTGTCACCCAGGCTGGAGTGCAGTGGCGCGATCTTGGCTCACTGTAAGCTCCGCCTCCTGGGTTCACATCATTCTCCTGCCTCAGCCTCCCGAGTAGCTGGGACTACAGGCGCCCGCCACCTCGCCTGGCTAATTTTTTGTATTTTTAGTAGAGACGGGGTTTCACCGTGGTCTTGATCTCCTGACCTTGTGATCCGCCCGCTTTGGCCTCCCAAAGTGCTGGGATTACAGGTGTGAGCCACCGCGCCCGGCGTCTCTCTCTTTTTAAAAATACGTCTTTGAGGTATAATTTACATACAATAAATTGCCAAAGTTTTGTTTGATGAATTTAGATAAATACATGCATACATCCTTGTAATCACCAACTCAGTCTAATATCCATTTCTTAATGAATCAAAGATAGTTCATTTTCCTGCCAACTGAAACAAATGATTTTTTTCATTGAGTAAGCACAAAACAGAGGACCTGGCCTAGATTTACAGGTCACAAACAACCCTCAAGAATGCTTATCTTTGTTGTTGTTGTTGTTTTGTTTTTGAGACAGAGTCTTGCTCTGTTGCCCAGGCTGGATTGCAGAGGTGCAATCCTGGCTCACTGCAACCTCTGCCTCCCAGGTTCAAATGATTCTCATGCCTCAGTCTCCTGAGTAGCTGGGATTACAGAAGTGCACCATCATGCCTGGCTATATTTCTACTTTCACTAGAGGTGGGGCTTTGAGGCCAGGCTGGTCTCAAACTCCTAGCCTCATGTGATCTGTCCCCCTTGGCCTCCCAAAGTGCTGGGATTACAGGCCTTAGCCACCATGCCTGGCCCAAAATGCCTTTATTTATGAGACAAGAGTTTTCCTCTGTTGCCCATGCTGGAGTATAATGGCACGATCTCGGCTCACTGCAGCCTCCACCTCCTGGGTTCAAGCAATTCTCCTGCCCTCAACCTCTCAAGTAGCTGGGATTACAGGTGCCTGGCACTATGCCTAGCAAAAAAAAATTTTTTTAAATGTATTTTTTAGTAGAGATGGGGTTTCACCATGTTGGCTAGGCTGGTGTCGAACTCCTGACCTCAAGTGATCCGCCCACTTTGGCCTCCCAAAGTGCTGGGATTACAGGTGTGAGCCACTGTGCCCAGCCTTAAATGCCTATCTTTAAACCCAAGAGTCATACCTTGTACAGTGAGAGGCTCACACCACAAGAGGTGAAAATGAAAGCAACCGAGAGAACAGTGCCTTGTGTATCCCACTCACTCTAATGCCTAGGCAGCAAAGCATAATGGTAGATGGAATTGTTCTCATTATATAAATTACTTTTCACTTTTTAAAATTTATTTTTTATTTGCTTTTGAGACAGAGTCTCACTCTTGTTGCCCAGGCTGGAGTGCAGTGGTGTGATCTCGGCTTACTGCAACCTCTGCCTCCCAGGTTCAGGCGATTCTCCTGTCTCAGTCTCCCAAGTAGCTTGGATTACAGGCGCATGCCACCATGCATGGCTAATTTTTGTATTTTTAGTAGAGACAGGGTTTCACCACGTTGACCAGGCTAGTCTTGGACTCCTGGGCTCAGGTGATCTGCCCGCCTCGGCCTCCCAAAGTGTTGGGATTACAGGCGTGAGCCACTGCGCCTGACCAATTTTCCACTTTAAAATTCAACTGTGCTGTCTTGTGCTCTTTGCTGATCCTCTGCTTACTGATTTTGCACCCCTAAAATGATTAAGATTTAGATAAAATACCACATATAGGGAAATAAATATGGGCATGCAAACTAAGGGGGTAGGAAGGCTGACCAATGCCCAAAACATAATGAAACGTCCTCCTTTTTATTAGAGGATTTATCATACTCAATACCCCATGTTGACCTGTGAATACTACTTTCAACAAATATGTAAGAACATATGAGAACGTAAGTATGAGTGGAAGAGTTTCAACGCTGCTCTGAACAAAGAGATGCCGGTACACCCTTCTAGTAAGAGCCATTTCCAAAAAAGCAAGGGATGTTCAGATGCTCAACATATGATGGGGTTACATCTGGATAAACCCATCTGATATAGCTTTGATATTTGTCCCCTCCAAATCTCATGTTGATGTGATCCCCAGTGTTGGAGATGGGGTCTAGTGGAAGATGTTTGGGTCATGGAGGCAGATCCTTCATAAATGTCTTGGTACTGTCCTCATAGTAACGAGTGAGTTCTCACTCTATTAGTTCACTTGAGAGCCGGCTGTTTGAAAGAGGTTGGCACTATACCCTTGCCCCCGGTCTTCCTTCCTTCCTTGCCAGGTGATACTCCAGCTCTCCTTCACCTTCTGTCATGAGTGGAAGCTTCCTGAAGCCTTAACCAGAAGCAGATGCTGGAGCCATGCTTCTTGTACACCTTGTAGAATTGTAAGCCAAACAAACCTCTTTTCTTTAAAAATTACCCAGCCTCAGGCATTCCTTTATGGCAACACAAAGGGACTAAGACATCATTGTAAGTTGAAAACATTTTAAGTTGAAAACGCATTTAATGCACCCAATGTACCGAACATCGTAGCTTAGCCTAGCCTACCTTAAATGTGCTCAGAACACTGACAGCTTACAGTTGGGCAAAATCATGCAACACAAAGCCTATTTTATAACAAAGTGTTGAACAGTTTATGGAATTTATTGAATACTATACTGAAAATGAAAAACAGAATGTTTGTTGGGTACTTGAGGAATAGTTTCTACTGAATGGTTATCACTTCAGTACCAATGTAAAGTCAAAAAATCCTAAGTCAAACCATCATGAGTCAGGGCTGTCTGTAGTTCCAAAAGAAAAATTCCAGTCCACGATCCCCTGCCCTAAAGATCATACTTTCCCCCTTGGTATAAGCATATAGTAGTTCCATGCTTCCAGAAACTCTCACTCTGATTCTGCAAAAAAAGAGCACATGCTTACTACCTATTGTACCTTGTCAACTACATGACCTATTGTTACAGATATTACTTTTCAGAAACTAGTAGTGACAAATGAGATTTACATTGAGGTTCATCGGGGGATAGGAATAAATGCAGGTTAATAGAAACTGAAAAGTTTTATATAAGGTTCTCCCCTAGATCTCATAATGTTGTTTGGACAATATTGAAATAGACCAAAGGAAGTCTGTTGGTCTTGAGAGAAAAATCACTCAAGCTATGTGGTGCCTGCCGCATTGTTGGTTTCTTTTATGATTATCAGGAGGGGGTTATTTTATGATTAGCTATAGTTTTATTTTTAAAAATTAATTAATTAATTATTTTTGAGATGGAATCTTGCTCTGTCGCCCAGGCTGGAGTGCAGTGGCGCAATCTCGGCTCACTGCAACCTCTGCCTCCTGGGTTCAAATGATTCTCCCATCTCAGCCTCCCAAGTAGCTGGAATTACAGGAATGCATCACCACACCCTGCTACTTTCTGTAGTTTTAGTAGAGATGTGGTTGTGCCATGTTGGCCAGGCTGGTTTCGAACTCCTGACCTCAAGTGATCCGCCCACCTCAGCCTCCCAAAGTACTGGGATTACAGGTGTAAACCACTGCACCCGGTCTATCTGTAGTTTTAACAATTAGCCCTACTACACTACCTACTGACTAGAAAACCTCACCTGGCTGATATTCTGGCTTTAGCAGCTGCCCACCTATAATCCCTTACCTCTTCCCATCTCAGGGCTCAGGTGGCTGCTCACCTGACATTGTGGGGCTGCTTGTCACAGGACAGCACCATGTTTGCAATGGACTGCTGCAGGTGCTGCCGTTGTCTCCTCAGGGTCTGCTGGAAGTCATCTTCTAGGGTCTGAACGACGTAACGCAGGAAAAGGACTCGCCCAGGCAGAGTCTGTCCCTGTGGGAAAAAGAATGAGAAGTCAGTCTTCGCAGTCTCCTGGATGACAGTCAACATTGGGCTCTCATAAACACTAAGCCCAAGAGAAGGCCATGCATCAACAAGTATGCCTGTGCTTAAAAGAGAGGCTCCCAGGAGAGGGTAGGTAGTCTGGGTCATTATGAGAGAGGACAAATAGGGTGACTGCTGAAAGAATCATACCTTATAAAATTTCAGAAACCATTTTTTAAGTATTATTACTTGTTCAAAGGATCTAGTCATCTGCAAATAATTATAATTTTCTAACACCTAAGTTGCAATCAAATATCTACTGGAATCTCTAGGATTGTAGATCATTTGATTTAAGAGACCGCCATGGGAAGTTAATCTCTCCCTGTCACTGAACCTATCAACCTCAGGATATACCCAAAACTATGGATGGCAAAACAGAGAAAGAGAAACTGGTTCTTTAATGACTCCTGTGCTGCTAGATCAAACTGCCATGATGTCCACTCTGCTAACGAACTTTCAGTCATGGGACCTGATTGAGCCAAGTCTGTTGGCTTGGCTCAACCTGACTGCTGGGCCAAGTCTGAGTTGGGTATTCTGTTACAGGTGAAATGATCCTAACTGACAAACAGTTGAAGAGCATGGGCTTTGGAGGCACACAGCATTCAGTTTTTGTTGCTGTTTTAGATCTAGCTCTGTCCTTTATTTAAGCCCTCTAGAACTTAGCGTCCTCGTAGTTTATATGGGGATAATTCTAACCTTACCAAAGACAGTGTAAGTACTTGTCACATAGTAGGCAGGCATGCACAATTGGTTGGTTTCCCTTTACTACGAGACAAGTGCTGGGAGCTTAGGCTTCAAACTTTAAAGAACGAGAGGTACCAAACTATTTCGGGACTATGTGGAAACCTCCGAACTCCAGGGAATAGGTATATTTTCTCAGAACATAAACTAATGGACCAGGATATGATTCAGTCAGTAGGAAACTAAGTGACCATTCTAAATACATATCATTTCTTTCTTTTTTGGGAGGAGGTGACAATATCTTTGTCTTCCACATGTGTTTATTTTTCTCTAATCCTTGAAAACTGATGCAAATGCTTTTTTAAAAAATCAAGTACCTGTGCTAGATTTTTCTTTTTTTTTGTTTTGGAGTCTCGGTCTGTCACCCAAGCTGGAGTGCAGTGGCACAATCTCGGCTCACTACAACCTCCGCCTCCCAGGTTCAAGCAATTCTCTAGCCTCAGCCTCCCGAGTAGCTGGGATTATAGGTGCCTGCCACCAAGCCCGGCTAATTTTTGTATTTTTAGTAGAGACAGGGTTTCACCATAATGGTCAGGCTGCTGTTGAACTCGTGACCTCAGGTAATCCACCCACGTTGGTCTCCCAAAGTGTTGGGATTACAGGGGTCAGCCACTGCGCCCAGCCTTGCGCTAGATTTTTGATAAAAAGTCTTCTACTGACACCACTCTCCACCACTACTTGTCTTCTCCAGTATCCTAGAATAATTTTTAACTCATTCTTTTAGAAGTCACCATAAACATCTCTAAAGAAATAGACTTTTATTATGATTTCTTGATTTATCAACTGTAGACATTATCTATTGATTTCTGCTATGCTAGGTAAGAGTTTACTTAGGCCAATCCCCCACCTCTTCTCTTCCTAAAATAAGTGTATTTCTATCACCTACAGACAGTTATCTCTTGACTCCCCATTTTGGAAGATAAGAATGTTACACCAGCCCTACTATTTTCAGAGGTCCTATCGCTTTTCATCTTCCAACCTTTATCTTCTGTACTTTCCATTTTACATCATCAAGGCTAATAAAATTGTCTCCTATGCTTTGTATATATTCTAAATGTTATAACTCCATGGTGTTTACAGTGTCAGGATTATGTTAAAAGTATTTACTAAATACATTTACTAAATACTCTTAGTAAATCCACATAGTAAACTAAGAAAATCATTCCTTTCTTGTGAAGCTTTTTGTTTTTCTAGAGTTTTGCTTTTTTCTCCCCTCCTTTAACTACCTGTAATTATAATATACCTCTTTCAACTCTTCAAGAATAGTGCTGAATCTTGATAATACCTTTTTTCCCCGAAATAATTCTCTCTCTCTCTCTCTCTTTTTTTTTAAATAATGTGGGCTGGGCATAGTCATTCATGCCTGTGATCTCAGAACTCTGGGAGGCTGAGGTGGGAGGATCATTTGAGGCCAGGAAACACCACCAGCCCAGGAAACATAGTGAGACCCCATCTCTACAAAAATAAAAATAAAAAAATGAGCCATGCCTGTAGTCCGAGCTACTTAGGAGGCTGAGGCAGGAGGATCACTTGAGTTCAGGAGGTCATGGGTGCAGTGAGCTATGATCATGCCACTGCACTCCAGCCGGGGTGACAGAGCAAGAGACCTTGTCTCAAAAATAAATAAATAAAACAACTTTAGTAGCATACCATAAAATTCAGCCATTTTAAAAGTACAATTCAATGATTTGTAGTAAACCTACTGAGTTGTGCAAACATTACCATAATCTATTTTTAGAACATTTCCATTACCCCAAAAGATCCCTCATGGGCACTTACAGTTCCCTTTCCAATCATCAGGCCAAGGCAACCACTCATCTGCTTTCTGTCTCTCTAGATCTGCCTTTTCTAAACATTTCTTAGAAATAGAATCATATAATATGTCATGTTTTATGTGTGGTTTCTTTCACTTGGCTTAATTTTTTTAAGGTTTGCCTGTATTATTAGTATGCATCAATAGCTCATTGCTTTTTATTACTGAATAGTATTTCATTTTGTTTATCCATTCACCAGCTCATGGACATTTGGGTTATTTCCACATTTTGGCTATTATGCATAACACTGCCTTGAACATTTGAATATAAGTCTTTCGCTGACAGACATTTTCGTTTTTGTTGGGTCTATATCTAGAATTGAAATAGATAGGGTGAATAAATTTATGTTCAACTTTTAAAGAACTGTCAAACCATTTTCCAAAGTGCCTGTACTATTTATCTCTCATCAGCAATGTATGAGACTTACTGTTCTCCACATTCTTGGCAATGTTTGTTATCTGTTTTTTCTTTTAACAAAACTTTAAAAATTGTGATAAAGGCCAGGCACGGTGGCTCACACCTGTAATCCCAGCACTTTGGGAGGTCAAGGCAGGTGGCTCACGAGGTCAGGAGATCACAACCGTCCTGCTAACACGGTGAAACTCAATCTCTACTAAAAATACAAAAAATTAGCCAGACATGGTGACGGGTGCCTGTAGTCCCAGCTACTCGGGAGGCTGAGGCAGGAGAATGGCGTGAACCTGGGAGGCGGAGCTTGCAGTGAGCCAAGATTGCGACACTGCACTCCAGCCTGGGCGACAGAGCGAGACTCCGTTTCAAAGAAAAAAAAATTGTTATAAAAACCACATTATCATTAAATTTACTATCTTAAACATTTTTAAGTGTACAGTTCAGTAGTGTTAAGTATATTCACAGTCCTGTAAAAGATCCCCAGAACTTTCCATCTTGCAAAACTGAAACTCTATATCCATTGAACAACTTCCCATTTCACACTCCCTCATACTGTTTTCCACAGCAGTTGCACCACTTTACAATCCCACCAAGAGTGCACAAAGGTTCTAATTTCTCCAAATCCTTGCCCACACTAATTTTTTGTTTTTTAAAAAATAGTGGCCATTCTAATGGGTATGAGGTGACATTGCATTGTGGTTTTGATTTGTATACCTCTAATGACTAGTTATATTGAGTATCTTTTCACAAGTTTGTTGGCCATTTCTATATCATCTTAGGAGAAATGTCTATGTAAGTCCTCTGCCCATTTTGAAATTGGGTTATTCATTTGTTGTCGAGTTGCTGTCGTTCTTTATATATTCTGGATATTAACTCTCATCAGATAAATGATTAATACATATTTTCTCTCATCCCATGGGCTGCCTTTTCACTCTATTTTTGTATTTTCTATTTTTATTGCTCACTCTGTAGACGCATAGAAGTTCTGAAGTTTGACGTAGTACTATTTGTCTATTTTTGGTTTTGCTGCCTGTGTTTTTGGTATCATATTCAAGAAATCAATTGCCAAATCCAATGTCATGAAGCTTTGCCCCATGCTTTCTTCAATGAATTTTATAGATTTGGGTCTTATATTCAGGTCTTTAATGCATTTTAAGTTAATTTTTATATGTTCAGAGTCCAATTTCATTCTTTTACAAGTGGATATCCACGTTTTCCTATGACATTCAGAGACTGTCTTTTCACCACTGAGTAGTCTTGGCACCCTTAATGAAGGTCACTTGACCATGTACCAAAGGTTTATTTCTGGGCTCTCTATCCCATATATCTACCTTTTTTCTTGTACCACACTGTCCGGAGCTGCGTGGCCCGGCCATAGTGATTATAACTGACGACTGACGCCTGAGCTCTATACATTTCCACTTTATGCCTCCTCCCTAGATTTACTTTCTTCCCTGTTCTGCTGTCTCATACGCCAGTACAAAATGGCGCTCTTCCTGGTTCTTCGTCACCCATTTTCCCGCGCCCGGGAAAACGATCAACTTACAGCGCAGGCGCCATCCCGTGCCCGGGAAAATTACCAACCGACGGCGCAGGCGCAACATGACGTCCGACCTAAGAAACCGAGACCTACCTGGCCACGCCCACCGCAGGGCCACCATCATCGCCCTGGCCCAACCTCCGCCCCTGCCGGTCTATATAAGGCATTACACTGCCACCAATAAAC